TCTAACAAGATTACTTTTTTTCCAATTATTTTCTTTGTTGGATTGTTTCAGGCTTGGCTTGATACAGACTAGAGAGCAAGGTGGGGATAAAATGGAGATATATATAGAAGTAGATTGCAAATCCATAATTGAGCAACTACAAACAAAGGAATGACAACACCCAATGTTGTAGAATGTGATCCATGATATATGTCACACCCCATTTTTTGAAATAAAACGATAAGGTTGAAAAAAATGTATTTATTGATTTTAGAAATAGAAAAAATGAGTTTTTAATTAATTTTTATTTGAAAATTGGTTTTTGATTTTAGAAAATAAATAAAGAAAAAGAGGGCCTAAAATGGGACTTAAAAAGTGCGACGATTTGGATTCAAAATAATAGTCTAAAAAGGATTTTTAAGAAAAAAATAGGAGTCGCCACTTGATATCGAGTTTAGGTGTACCAAATCACCTAAAAATGTATTTTTAATAATAGATAAAACTCTTTTTAGACGACTCCAGATCTTTGAAAACAAAAGAAAACAGTTTGAGAGTCACGGTTGAAAAAATGGAAGGTAAAGATTTGAAAAAATTAAACCTAAAGCACCCTTTCAACCTAGCCAAAACTAGTTGCGAGATTTAGTCAAAAATTTTATTAATCTAACCTATAAAACTTATCATATTTGGATGTTTCTATATGGACGCAAATCTAGACCTAAAGGATATCGAGAAGGTCGAAATATCTCTTCAAAATTTAATTGATGCAAATCACTTTAATTGTGATGCCCAAAATGATTCTTAGAAGAGGTCATGAATATGCAAAAGATGATACTCAAAAAAAAAAGAAGAAATATAAATATGCATGATCTAAAAAAGAGGAATGCAATATAACGGGTACGGGGGACTAAAATTTGTGATTCAATTTTCCTTTCTATAGAAGAGATACGAGCGTGCTAAAGTTAAGAAGCCATACTCGTCCATTTCCTATATTTGAAGGGTGATTTTTCTAATCTAATCAAATAAATGAACTAACCTATTTCTAATTTCCTAAATAGAAGGCAAGTTTAAATGTCACATTTTACGTACATAGGAATAAGAGAGATAATACATAGAGAAAATATCATGCAAGATGAGAAAATTATCCTAAAATGAAAAAAATGTATGAAATGCAATAAACGTCACGCAAAAAGTGTGAATCTGGCGCGAAAACGGGTTAAAGAGTCTAGCATTAGATTAACCCATTTCTACAACTTTTCACTAGCGTTGGACTAGTGAGAAATCGGGAGAAAGACCACAATTAGCATTGGACTAGTGAGAAGTCGAGAGAAAGGTTACAATTAATGTTAGACTAGTGTGGTGACGTCATGCATTTATTATAATTAAATAAATCATATAAAGCATAATTAAACCAAGTAAACATATAATGCACATAGAGCACATAACACTTAAGTATAATTTTTAGATGTAAAACCCTAGTGGAAGCTAATAAACACGTAAGCACACAAGCAAATAAATGCAAATAAAAACTTAACTATTACATTCGAGACCCTAACTACAATCTAAAGGGAAGTTTTAAAAAATAATAACCTAACTATTACATTAATTTAACTAATTGCATTTTTGGCAAAATTAAAACCTATTTATTACATAAGCTAACTAAATACATGTCTCGAGAATCTATCTATTACAATTTGACATTTACATGCCTTTCAAATAGTCATCAAAATTAAATAAAATAAATGAAACTTAAAATGAATAAAATGAGTAATTAAAAGAAAAAGCACTCAAAACATGCAATTACATATAGAAAACACATAGAAACACGTAAGAGGATTTAAAATTATTAAAGGAGGTACCTCCCTTAAAGTAGTGGTTAAATGAGGTTGGATTTGTCCTATTCATACTCCAAAATCAACAAAAATTGTCATGGCACCAATTTAATTAACAAATAAATTATAAAGAATTGGAAATAACCATGCAATCCACCAATTAAAGCATTTAAATGAAGTATAATTAACAATTAAAGAAGATAAACAACTTATATTTAAGAAATCAAAACTGCTAGGGACCTAATTACAAAAATTAAGAAAGTTTTTAAGGTCAAATTATAATTATTTCAACAATTAGGGGTCAAAAATCAAAAAATAAAGTTTAAGGACCAACTTGTAATTAAAATAGGGATCTAATTGAAAGAAAAGGTATTTAGGCCATATTATAATTACTCAAAAGTCTAGGGAGCTATTTACAATTTTCGGATCTGGTTTCTTGAGAAAACAGGCCTCTGGGCCATTTTTACTTCTTATTTGGGCTGAAGGCCATTTGGCCCAACTAAATCCCCAAGGGAAAGGAGACGGGCTAGCCCATCATTTTTATTAAGCAGACCCAACCAAAAATGCATGGGTTTTGGCTTCCAAGCCCACCCAATAAGAAAAAACTAAAACCCACTTCTTAAAACCCAAACAAAATAACCAAAATCCAATTCTGATCTTATTTTACTAAACCCAACAAACCATTAAATCACGTAAAAAAATTAAGACCTAATTATGTCCTATAACCCAGAAATAATTTGCTTAAAAGACACATCTAAGCATGCAAAAGAGGATTAAAACTTAAAAGGGGGAAAAATGATTCAAATGCAGGAGTTTTGGGCCGAAATGAAATTATGTAAAAATTAAGGGGTCTAAATGAAATATTTTGAAAATTCCATCCATCTGATTCGAAGAAAGCTTTGCTTCTCTGCAACTTTCTTTCGCAACTTTCTTCTCTTTTTAGTTCATCAAACACAGCAACTTTATCAAGCGAAAAACCAAGAATTCGGACCCAAAAACACAAACCCATGAGACCCAAGATCCACAGGCAAAGTTCAATGCAATCCTAACAAGAAAATCTGATCTAAATGCTATGAAATAAGCAAAAAAACAGCAGAAAAAAAGAAGGGAAATAGGAAAACAAGTTCGGCAAGAATTTTTGACAAGTTTGATGTGAATCTAAGCTTAGATGAGGCTGACAAAGATGAAATACCATACCTTTAACGATTTAAGAAGTAAAAACGCCGCTTTGAACCTCACGGAAAAGAGAAAATCGCAGGTGGGAGCTTAGTTCCTTTGCTGCAGAAGTTGTTCGAGAGCTGATAAACCTCCGAATTTGAGCCCCACTTTTACGATCTTAGAGGCATTTTTCTTGAAAATTGTGTGAACAAAATTTGTCCCTCTACTACCGTAGATTATGCATAAATAAAGAAATCCTCTAAAAGACAAATTTTGGGTTCGATTTTGCTCATGAAATAGGCTAGAGGCTCAACCCTGGCTCAAGTTTTTTCTAGAAAAATTTCTGCACTTTTTCTTCCTCTTTCACTCTCTGCTTTTTCTCCTTTTCTTCTTTGTCCGCCACCTCTCTCTCTCTTTTCTTCCTTAATGTAGTGTTTTAGAAGCCTTTATATGGAACAAACCTGCCCCATAACCCTAAAAGCAAAGGTGCAGATGAGATGGATTTTTTGTGGCATTTTTGAAGCCATTGTATGGATTGTTTTCTAGAATATTCTTGATGATTTCTAATGGCATGAGTTGGCATTGTACTTGGGGGTTTAGAGGGAAAGAAAAAATGCAAAAAAAAAAAAAAAAAAAATTGAGCGAAAAAAGGATCAAATGGCCATTGCAATTTTCTGGTACTGTGGCCTCTCTGCTGGCTTCTTCGTACGAAGAAGAACTAACCAGCGCGCGCAGGTGTTTTTTTTTTTTTTTTTACAAAATCTGATTTTAATCAAAAAAATTTCTATTTTCTTTTCTTTCTAATTTTCTAAAAAAATGAATTGAAAATGATTTTCTTAAGAAAATAAAAATATCATGAAATGAAAAGGAATAAATGGATAAATAAACAATAATAAATAAAACAAAATAATAATAATAATAAATAAATAAAAATGAAATATTCATAAAAATGAATGCAAATTTCGGTGTCTACAATATATTTAGTATAAGATCTCTATTACCATTAACTCTTTTATACAAAATCTAAAAGTAAATTTTGATTGTAACTAAAGGATTAGCTAAGTTTGCTACTGATCAAAGGATTGACATAGAATGGAATGATCAGTTCTTTTTTTTTTTTTTAAGTGGGAGGTTTTAAACCCAAAATCTCTTACTTACAATCTTACTTTACCATTTAATTCAACCTTTTCTCCCTGTAAATTTCTATTTAGATAACTGGGGAATCCTAATATTTGGGATTTATCCCACCTTTGTAAAGTCATAGTACTTTTATGAGTATCAATAACAATACAAATTGTTACCATTTCTTTGGAATGGGGGAAGGGGGAAAAAGATCACATCGTTAGGGTTTATCATATTTCGGCTTATATACTATATTTGACGGACAGCTTGAGTAAGGGTGCCTTTAAAATCTATTATCAGTCAAACATGAAACAAGCTGCATAGAAGATTTTGACAAATCTGTTATCAAAACTATTTGTATAGGATAGGGTGATTGAGTATATACTCCCAAAAAATCAATTTGATAATGTTTAATTGATCAACAGATAAACTAAAGTATACGTTGTCATTTTGAAATACTAGTTTGCTTGGATAGCCCATTAGTTGAGAAAATGGAAAAAAAAACGTTACAACATAAAAACATTGTTCAATCAATTATTTATTTGTTAACTATATTTTTATCTTGTATATGTCATATTACAAACTATACTATAGTATTATTCTATCAAAAATTCTTGAATAATATCTAATCAATGTTAATATTACTCATTTGTTTTAGTTGAAAATAGATAAACTGAATTCATATTGCAGAAGAATATTTTGCCATAACATCAAAAGTGGCAATGAAAGGGACACAATTAGAAATAGACATGCTGGATATATTGAACGTGCTGGCAAAGATATAGAGTGCACATTACATGGTCACTAATCAAGCTCTTATTGTAATTCACACTACAAAACTACTATTGTATATCACAGTGAGCCTGTTCAAGCATTGACGAGGAATCATGACCTAGCTAGAAGCTGGCTTGATTAGTTCTCAGTCTCTGCATCAACAGCTTCACCAGGATATCCGCCATGGCCACCGCCGCCACGTCCTCCATAGCCACCACCAGGATACCCTCCATATCCACTCCCAGGATATCCCCCACCACCACCACGTCCTCCATAGCCACCACCAGGGTACCCTCCATATCTACCCCCAGGATATCCTCTATAACCTCCACCTGGATAGCCCCCATATCCACCACCCGGATACCCTCCATAACCTCCTCGCGGGTAACCTCCATATCCTCCTCCGCGGTACCCTCCATAGCCACCTCCACGGTATTTGGCTTCTTCTACGCCATTCGTCTCAATTGTCTCGGCTGCAACCAAGATAAATTCGGCATGGCGTTATTTGCTGTAGTCATAATTTTGAAATGTAATGTTTGGACCAAATTGTGTAAATGCTTCTAGTTCTAGGTTACCATTTCAAAAATATCGTAATCATTTGAAAATTTGTCTTTTATCGTATGTGTCGACAAATTAATTATTGTTTTAGAGATACCCTTAAAATGGTTAATTGTTACCAACTAATAGATCGTAATATCATAGCAAATCGAATCGTACTTTCTGAGAATTAATTATTGTTCTATTAAAAGAAAAAACTATGTTTTATGCGTCGAGACGTACTAACGTAGAATATATTTTTACACTAGAAATACAGGACGGTTAGTCCAGTTACTAACCGTTACACTCCAACTTCCACGTTGGGAAAGGCTTGACACTTGTATATACACCATAACTGAGGTGCTTTTAATCGTTAAACATGTAGGGCACTACATATCACTAACATGGTTTGATTATCTAAATATGTAGGGCACTACGGATTTAATTAATTAATTTGGCAGGAGATTAACAAGTCACCTTGAATATCAAGCTCTTGAAATCCAATTAACAAAATAATCCCATAAAAATTCAAGTAGAAAACGTGCAAATATTAACAAATTGAAAAATGCATGAAAACTAATTCAATTTCACAGATATTCGGGACTACGTCGTCGCGTTGATCCTTGAATAGATGAAAGGTTTAGCCACGCCTTATGAGAAAATCTCCACACAAATTAATTGATTTCAAAGGCATCATCTTTTTCTCTAATAATCAGTAGTAATAACAAAGCTTTGTTCCAGTAGTTCTAATGGAAGAGACGGAAAAAGAAGAAAACAAGGGAACGAAGGAACTGGACAAAAACAATGAACCGCAGCTGTGTCCCTCTCAACAATCAAAAAAGAAAACAAAAGCAAAAGCTGCCCCGCGATTGTTCCTTCAGTTTCGGAATTCTAGTGCTAGTTAACTACCTATTACTAGTCATCTACCAATCAGCAAAAGGAAAGGCAATCGGCTTGTGGTACAATGTGGAGTCCGGTTTGTAGATCTTTTAGAAACTTTCTACGTGTGGAGCATTTTCCTCAAGAAAGTCTCCTTTGTAGCACTTGTTTGCTCCATTCCTGTCATTAGGGCCAAATACCAAATATAAATATATGTTAACAATTAAAATAATATTTGACAAGAACAAAGAGGGAAATTAACAATAAAATTACTAACAATTAACACCCTATCAATTAAATATTTCCAAGGATATAAGTGCAAAATTCTTGTACTTTATGAGAATATAAAAGTTTATTTTTTAATTTTTGAGGGTGGAGGGAGGTCTAACTTTTACAAGGATAGGTATGAAATGTTTAAAATTTTATAGGGGATATAAAAGAATTTCTAAAACACCCCCATATATAGCTATCTAGTATAATCCTTGCAAAGTGCATCCGTCCTTAAATTTTTGCCCTTGCTTCTGAAACCTGTTTTACTTTTCTCAAAGCTCAAACACAAATAATTTTAAAGTCATGGAATCAACTTACGTGTCTCTAATATAATTATTTTTTTTCCTTTTTCAGCAACACTTAACTGCTTTCATTGAGGGGAAAGAACAGGTGATCAATAGATTCCTTCTTTTGCTAGCAGAAAGTGCAAATAGGATTGTGCATAAGATGCTCCATTGCTTCATACTAAAAAAACTTTCTTCCTTTTTCTTTTTTTTTTTTTGCTGATAGATAAAGGAAATTTTAGTTCACATGAAATTCTTTCTTTTTAAATCAATAGTAAAAGGCTACAGCAAGTTATCAACTTCGATTAATAAGGTGTCACAAAATTGTGAACAGTGAGTGTAAACTCACTTCATAGTGATGATGTAGGACAGATTTATCGAAAGATATATTAAATTCATAAAAGCAAAAGAAATCTCTTTCATTTATTTCTTAAAATCTCTTCTTAATTTTGTTGGGTTATGTTTATTTTTATGCATGTATTTTTCGATGTATTAGACTTTAAATCAAATGCAGATGACAACAGTGATAACAATAAATAAAGTTAGATGTCAACATAAGGTAGTTTTAGGCTAGTTATTTGTTAAGAGTAAGTTTTCATTTTTCTCTTTTAGTTTATGTAAACTGTTACAAGGATTTTTTTTTTCATTTTTAAGGACTACTATGCATCATTTCTACACTTAAAGGAGGAAATTAAATATTAAATAAAACCTCAGAGGGCAAAGTGAGAATTCACATATCTAGTTTTGGCTTGGACGGACCAATTAAAACCAAATTCCTAGATTAAGAAACCTAATAGACACTTCTAAAAGTTGATGTACTAAATAGAACCATTGATAATAGTTGAAATACTATGGGAGTCATTTATCTAAACCAATATTTTCCCTCTAAACATCATGGACCAGTCTTAATCCCTAAGTCCGAAATTCATTGTAATCTACCTTTTCACTATACTTGAAAATAGCTAAATGTTCGATCTCTCATAGACAACCAGCTAATTAGAATTTCCGACATTCATGCTATGGTTTAAGAGAGTTAGGTAGTGAAACTAAGTCAAGTAAACAAAATCTTCTTATGCTTTTGACATGATCACTTTTTGTACGGCAAGACTAAATATTAGGTATTACCAATTCTTTTCAGCTTATATACTATATTCGACAGACACGTGTTTGAATAAGGGTCCTTTTGAAATCACTTGTTAGCCAAACAAATAACCGAACTTTATAGAAGATTGAGTTCGTTGATTATGTTAGCAAAAATATTTGCATTGGTTAGTTTAGGTATACCCAAAAGAAAAGAAAAGAAAGACCAATTTGATAATATTTTTGGGTATCTTTGGGCAAAGCTCTGCCCAACCTGAGGATTAGCCTCCAGACCTGAAAAAAAAAAGAAAAGAAAAGAAAGACCAATTTGATAATATTGTTAACTGATTTACAAATAAACCGACCAAAAGTAGTCTTCGTTTTGTTGTCAATTTGAAATATTCAATTTTTTTTTCTTCTTTTGGTTGAAACTTACTAAGCTGAATTCATATTGTATATATGGATTTTACCATCACATCGGTAGTGCTCAAGAAAAGAGACGTTGAGTGATTACATATTGAAGTAGCTAGCTAGCAAATATATGGAGTGCATATTACATAATAATCCAGCTCTTATTCGTACTTCACAGTGCTGTATGGAGTGCATATATTACATCATAACTTGCTCGCTGGCTTTGTTAGTTCTGAGGCTCAGCATTCACAGCCTGACCAGGGTATCCACCATGGCCATAGCCACCTCCAGCATATCCCCCATATCCACCCCCAGGATATCCCCGATATCCACCACGTCCTCCGTAGCCACCACCAGGATTTCCCCCATAACCACCACGGCCACGCCCTCCATAGCCACCAGCAGGGTATCCCTCATAACCTCCTCTTGGATAGCCTCCATATCTAACCAATGGGAGGGAGGAGGATTGATTCAGCAAAGACTAGACCGATGCCTAGCAAGTCAAGGATGGAACCAACATTTCCAAGATGCAAGGCCGTGTACACGTGCACAAGGATGCATCAGATCACTGTATTATTCTAATCTCTATAGAACCAGCTCAAAGGAAATTCAAGAAAAGGTTCTATTTTGACCAGAGGTGGACATACGAGGAGGAGACAAATGCAGTGATTTCAAGTACGTGGAATGAACACCAGCAAGGATCTAGATTTTTTAAGGTGACAAGAAAGATATATCAAAGCATGCTGATTAGCTGTTGAGATGCCTTGAATTAGATCTTTGACCTTCGCTGAGCAGTTCGGGGGTCTCGCTGCTTACGGTATATATTAGTTACCGTGTCTATTTTATTTCGGGTCTTGTTTTGGGCCTATTTTTGGGTCCAGTCCGTTTGGTTGTATATATATACACATTATTTTAGTCTGTAAACTATTCCGATTACAACCCTAATAAAATCTGATTTCCCCTAAGTTGTTCTTGTCTGTTCTTGTTTATTTTTCTGTTCCGCTACATCTGTTATAACATTAGCCCTGTTGGAATGGAACAAAAAGAAAAAGAACAACTCAAGAGAGATAATATAGAAACTGAAAAAACAAATTGAAGAAGTCAAGATGAATGACAATGGCCAAAGGAAGGACAAGATTGATGAACTGAAAAGCAAATTGGGTAAGGCATATAGGGATGAAGAAATCTACTGGTCCCAAAAGGCAAGAAATAATTGGCTTAAGCATGGTGATAGGAATACCGCATTTTTTCATGCCTCTGTGGGAATCAAGAGAAGATAGAATAGGATTTCAAGTCTTCAAAAAGAGAATTGAAGCTGGTGTGCTACAAAGGAAGAAATGGTGGAAGAGATCTGTACTTATTACAGCAACATTTTCAGCACTTCACAACCTGATAACATTGATGAGGTCCTTGAAGATGTCCCCCATACAATAACTCAGCAGATGAATGAAAATCTGATCAAACCTGTGCATGAAAAGGAAGTCAAAGCAGCAGTATTTTCTATGCATCCAAACAAAGCACCAGGCCCTGATGGTATGTCACCTCTTTTTTTCCAAGAATATTGGCATATCATTAATTTGGATGTAGTTAATGCTATCAAGAGTTTTTTCCATAGTGGTTATATGCTTAAGGCAGTTAATGAAACCTTGATAACTCTAATCCCTAAAGTGTTTGCCCCTACTAATATTACTCATTTTAGGCCAATCAATCTATGCAATGTCCTTTTTAAAATTGTGTCCTGGTAAATAGGCTGAAAAAGCTTCTGTCTAAGTGCATTAATGAAGCTCAATCTGCCTTTGTTCTAGGCAGATAAATTCTGGATAATGTTTTCCTAGCTCATGAGGTTATGGACTTCTTAAAAAAATAAAAAAAAGAGGTAGAATGGGTTTTATGGCTATCAAGCTTGACATGTCAAAAGCATATGATAGAGTAGAGTGGCAACTTCTGGGAAGAATGATGTTAAAGATGGGTTTTTGTCCTATTTGGGTTAGATGGATTATGAACTGCCTCTCCTCAGTATCATACTCTTTTAACCTTAATGGGGAAACTAGGGTATGTCCAACTTAAGAGAGGCATTAGGCAGGGTGACCCGTTATCTCCTTACCTATTTTTGTTTGTTGCAGAAGCACTCTCAAACTTGATAAACAAAGCAGGTGCAAGTAAGCTATGGACTGGCATCAAAGTGGGAAGAAGATGTCCTCCCATCATACATCTTTTCTTTGCAGATGATGCTCTGTTGTGCTGCACCACAAACCAGGAAGCTTGGATGGTAAAAGAAATGCTGAACAAATATGCGAGGGCATCAGGGCAGCTAATCAACTTTGAAAAATCTGCTATCTATTATAGCAGAAACACTGACTTGGACATTAGACAGGAGATATGCAGCATACTTGGGAACCTAAAGGAAGCATTCAGTGGAAAGTATCTAGGTCTTCCAATGGTAATAGGACGGACAAAGAACCAAGTGTTTGGGCAAGTCAAAAGACGTGTAACAGAAAGACTACAAAGATGGAAAAGAAACCTGCTAAGTCTAGCCGGTAAAGAAGTATTGCTAAAGTCAGTGATAATGGCACTCCCATATTACACAAGGTCCTGTTTCAGAATCCCAAAAGGAATGTGTAGAGACATTAATAAACAAACGGCAAGATTTTGGTGGGGGGCAGATGAGCAGTAAAGGAAAATACATTGGGCCAAATGGAGTACACTCACTGAGGTGAAAGGAAAGAGAGGATTAGGCTTTAGAGACCTGGAAATGTTCAACACAGCTTTGCTAGCTAAGCAGCTATGGAGGATCATTGTCCAGCCTAATAGGCTAATCAGTAGAGTCATGAGAGCAAAATACATGAAAAAAGAATAGGAATGGATGAGAGAACCTCCTATATCAGTATCATACCTATGGAAGAGTCTACTAAGTGCAAGATTCCTATGGATAAATGGAATAAGAAAACAAGTTGGGGATGGGAGTACGATCAAGGTGTGGGAGGATAGATGGGTACCAGACTCAAGAGATGGCAGTGTGAAACTAGATAAAGTAGCACAAGTGGATATCCAATGTGTCAAAGATCTGATCAAACAGGGACAATGGGACAGGGAGCTACTAAATACAACCTTTAGCAGAGAGATGACTCAAAAGATTGCAAAATTTCCACTTAGCATATACTAAAGAAGGGACAGACTAATCTGGAACCACTCTAAATATGGAGAGTATACAGTGAAATCTGGTTATGCACGTGCAAAGGAGATGGAGACACAGGCAACAGAAACAGTGCAAATCAAGTAACAGACAAGCAGCCATAACAGGAAGGAAAGTTTGTGGAAAAAGTGTGGGGTGACGTGCGCGGGGTATACATATATAATTAGCTCATCCACAATCAAGTTTAACATTTATAATTCCTAAATACCCCACACGCGATTTATCGCAAGTATACGAATCATGAGCGAGTATAGGGTATTAAGGGTCGATCCCATAAAGAAGATTGCAATTACCGGTGTTTTTCGAACTCCTTTATTATCTAGACTACCATAAATAGGGGTGTGCATTCAGTGCAAAAGCGGTAATTCGGTGCAATGAATTCGGTGAATTCGATTATTCGACCTATAGAAATCTAAACCATTTTCAATTTCGAATTGGCCATAACCGAATTAATTCCGCGACCGATTTCAAATTCGAAAACGGTAATGAATTCGGTCTAACCGAATTCATCTATTAAAAAAAAATGATTTTTTAAAAATTATTACTGATTTGATCCCCAAATTTATTCATAATTTAACACATTACTTATGTTCTAATCATTTTGTGGTTTAATTTAATTGGCATTTATTTGATCACTTATACCTAGAATCCTTAATCTATGATTTAAGAAACACATAAAAAGTGATTAATTTAAACTAGAATAAATCTTAGACTGTACAATGATTAGTGATAATTTATGAATTTATAATTTACAATGATTAATAATAAGTAATATTAGTTACAAACTTACAAATAACAATGATTAGTGATAAGTTATATTAGTTACAAACTTATAATTTATTTCAAATCAAAATAAAACTTATTTACTTACATATGTTATTATGAAACTCAATACACTAATACATTGATTTGCAATTCACATGCATTCACTTACACTGTTTAGTTGTCTTGTCTATACTTAAAGCCTTAAGATTAGTGAATAGATAATATGAATTTTTATGTTAAATATGTAATATAAATTTAGAGCACACCAATACTTGCAAGTTACAGATTACGCATTCAAATATTCAATAATTCAAACATGAATGATCAATGATATATCAAATTACCAATATCTAAATTCTAATTACTAATTATGTTTATTGTTTAATATTTAGTATTATACATATATGTATTAATTATTATCTAATTCTAGTCATGTTACTCATGTATAAAATAATAAGTAGTTATCTTATATTGTTATGTATTACTATACATTTGTATTATTATAGTCATATAACAATTAACAAATACTAAAATAATATATTGTACATTATTATATATTGTTATTATTATAAGTACATGATATGATGATAATACCATTTACTAATTATTATTAATAGCACTTACCTATATAATATAATAATATATTAGTAGTATATACTAATACTAAATAGCATTTATCTATATATTATATAATTTTATATACCAATTTGGTATTCGAATGTGGTAATGCAGTACCCTATTTCAATTACCGAATTTGAATGCGAAATCGGTTATTACCAAATTCATAATCTCATTACCTATTTCATACTATATTAGAATTCGGTGAATTCGGTATGTACCGAATTTGTACCAAATTACCAAATACCCGATTTCAAATTACCGAAATGAATTTGAATTCGGTTATGAATTCGGTGTGAACCGAATTTGCTCACCCCTAACCATAAATATGAAAGTAATGAAAATTAGCACTAGAAAACTCCTAGAGATATGGAATTCCTTACTACTCTTACAAATGAAGTTACCGGTTAAATGAATGTTATTATCTTGGATAGTTATGGCGTAATTTCCTAATGTATGTGAAACATACTCTCATAGTGAATCAATGATACTTGTAACTAAACCATACCTACTCTCGTGGTTATGAATTAACTACAAGTTCATTTCTTCTATGAAATTACATGAAACAAGTCGGTAAAGCCACATAAGTGCACCTCTACTCTCGTGAGTGTACTCCCTAGGTTTATCACTTCCTTGAACTAGTGTTAAATTCCAATTCTCATTGCAAATTTAACACCTTTAAATAATCACAACTAATGGCCGGTTAATCATGATTAGAAAAGCAAAAGTGATAAATGACTTGCTCAAAATAATATCACCAAATAACCAAGTAAACATCATATACAAGATATAGAAAGTTCATCCATACTCTAGGTATAAACTTTAGAAACACATATTTAAATACAAATCCAAATCTTGCATTAACAAAACTTAGAGTTCAATACAAAGATAAAGATGTGGAAAGAAGAAAACCTTTGTCACTAGAGTTTCTTAAGCCTCTCCTTCTTCATCTCCCTTGGCCTCCTTGTTGAGCCAATAGAAGAATGAATAACACTCAAAACTACCTAAACTAATGAACTAAAAAAGACTAGTGAAGACTACATTTTTATGAGTTTCTCTAGCCTTCCCAAGTTATCCAAAGAATATGACCAGCCTCAGTTTTTGTGCTAAAATCTGATGTCCCTTCCCTCTTCTACTGTATTTTTCTTCTCCCCCTTGATTCTCCAAATCTAAGGTGTTAACAAAATCAACAAAACAATGTTCAGCCTCTTGATTCTACCGTATCTTTTTGACTTGACAATAAGCTATTTTTCTTCCTTTGTGCATCAGAAACATGTGCAGCCCAAGTTTTCTCTCCAACTACTGCTGGAAAGCAGTATGAAAATGAGAAAAATGGCTGAGCAAATTGTAGAAATTCGGCTGCCATACGCGTATTCACTTTTGACCTCGTTTCAACTGCAATTTTCTCTATGATAGCCGCCAAACTAGCTATTGTGCAAAACATGAAAATTGTAGCCCTTTGACTTAGCGTTCCAATGCTTCAAAATCATCTAATTTGGAGTTCGGTGGATGGAGATATGATCGAAATACCATAGACTGGTCAATTCTGTGTTTCAGCTCTCGACCATACATATAAGCTTCTGTGTTTCGACTTTTTGACCAGGAAAACTGCTGAATTGGACTTTGATGTCTCATACAAAATGTAGATCTATCTCTTAGCTTCAAAATG